CTGCTGTCTCTTGCGCTCCTGCAAAGGAGCATCGCTGGTGAAGGTCCCTTAGCATCTGTCCCTCTCCTGTGTCCTTGCAGGCAGCAAGCTGCAATCCTGGAGGACTTGGTGAGAAATGTGCCCCTGGAGTTTGATTTCCTCTTCTCCAAATCACATGCAGAAGTGATTTCAGGGAAACAAGAAGGTAGGAGCTGCCGTGAAGCACTGCTTGGTTCCCTTTAGTATATTGCCGTAATGACCCTTTATGTCTCGTGCAGGTGTCTATGCTTGGATCGGTATCAACTTTGTCCTGGGCCGGTTTGATCATGAGGACGGTGAGTCTGGCTGCTTATAGAGCAGCTGGGAGGGTCTGAGCAGAGCCCTGCTGGAGCTTGCCCCAGCACTGGAGCTAAGAGCAAGCTCTGGAGTGGGCAGCATCTGCCCCTCTGGCCAGGCAATGCCTGACCCCAGCCACGCGTGTGAAACTCTCCTGGACCTGGGACCTGGAGGGGCACCTGCCCCAGTTACAGGAACAAGTCCCTGTGCGAGGGGGACACCTGCATCATTCTGGGAGAAGAACCAGGGAGAGAGGGTTTATAGTAGTGTTCCTGTAGTGGCTTCCAGCGGTGGATGCTTTTACAAAGCCAGGGGGTGGCCAGCCCTGAGTGCCAGGACCTGCTGCCCTGCAAGTGATCCTCGGGGGCTGCTTGCAGGGGTGGAGGAACCCCTTGAGGCTGCTCTGGGGGGTAATGGTGGAAGGGAGGAGATGCCGCCCCAGGCCCTGCCCCTCGCTGACACGCTGCTGTGGGTTTCAGAGGAGGATGCGGTCGTCACTGTGGCGCTGGGGGACCAGGGAGAGTCCCTGGTTCGGAAACGAACGGTTGGGATCCTAGACATGGGGGGCGCCTCCCTGCAGATTGCCTACGAAGTGCCCGACTCTGGAGCCTTCTCCTCCCCGCAGCAGGTGTGTATCTGGCCGGCCGGCTCTGAGAGCAGCCTCTGCCTTCCCTGGGTCACTGCTGATCACGGACCTCTCTGCGTCCCCAGGAGGAGGCTGCTAAGAGCTTACTGGCAGAATTCAACCTGGGCTGCGACGTGCAGCACACTGGCCACGTGTACCGCGTCTACGTCAACACCTTCCTGGGCTTCGGGGGCAATTTTGCCCGGCAGCGCTATGAGGAGCTTGTGCTGAACCAGACCTCTGTGCACAACCGGTATTGCTGCCTCGCCTAGCGGGTGCCCCTGCTGGGGCATTGTGAAATGGGGTGCTGGTTCCTTCACCCTGCCCTCTCCCCGTTGGACTTCCCCCAGAGCCGCCCTTGGTGATAACAGCTCCCAGAGCCATGCTGGCAACAGCAGATGCCCGGGCTGGCACAGTGCACAGGCGCTGCCCTTCTCCGAGCCTGGCAGGCGTTATCAGTGCCACAGCTCCCTGCCTTCCTCCTCCTCCCTTCATGGCAGGCTGCGGGGAGGCCACTCTGGTAGCTTTCGGCTTTTCTTGCTCCGACTTTCCCTCCTTCTCCAGCACTGATTCACTCAGCATATCTTTCCATCGCATTCCCACCTTGAGCTCTCTGTCTCCCCTTCCCAGAGCGCTACGTGAAGCTGTCGCCAGAGGCGGAGAGGCTTGGTGCCCAGGTACTCCTGTGCCGGGAGCAAACCCTGCCTCCAGATCCCCGGGGGCTCTGCAGGGGTGTGGATCCCCGCAAGCTGGGTGGGGTGGCCATGCCTTGTCGCATCCCGCAGGCAGTCAGGGCACATAACTGCAGGTCAGCGTGACAGATCTGGCGAGTTTGGCTTCGGCAGGAGGTGGCAGGGTGGGTGCCAGCACCGCCGGGTACAAGGGGACACAGCCTGGTCTGGCACGGGGGGTATCCGGATGCAGGGCAGCACTTGACCAGGCTTTTTCGGGTGGTACAGGACCCCCTGTACAATTGCCTTTCCTTCCTGGCCTGTTTTCTAGCCTGCATAGCCAGCAGACAGGGCTGAACCCTGA